ACTGAGCTATCCAGGACGATATCCACGGCTAAAACCATAACATTCCTCCTTCCTGAAATGGACTTCGTCCTCGAAGACACAAACCAAGTTATTATTGCCCCTGGCAGGACTTTCACCTGCAATTCCAGGGGTGGTCAACGGCACCAAATCATGACAATCCCGGTTCAAATCTCAGCCCTGGTACAAACTTTTCTTTTTTATATATATACATAAATTTGTCTTAAAATATAAACTTTTACATTCAAACTTATAAAATCTTTAATCTGAAAATAATTTGAAGTGTGATTGAGTTTTGTTGGACCAGGAGTATGTTGTTTTCATTTCAGCTCATCTTTATTTCACCTTCATATATCCATGGTTATTTCAATAATTGTCAGTAAACAAAATATTCAGGGATCCTGCTATACGTTCCTTAAACTAACGCTAAAGAGAACTTAAGGACTTTTCGTCAAATGATTACACATGATGATTAAATTTTGTTGTAAATTTTCCCAACTTTACATCTTTAACATTGTACGACTTAACTTTCTTCAGTTTCTACCATATTTGTTAACTCAGGCTTCTATTCATTCGAGCAATCAGTAAGCAATTCTTCCGAATTCTACATGATAACAAAATTCATAAAACAATTCAAATATTATAAGATTCGTTTTTGAGATCTTTTCCCTAATATTCTAAGGAAAAATTAATCTGAATGAAAGGTATTTTGATGAAAATCAGGTATGAAGTTTTTCCGAACGATTTAACATTTCCTTCACGACACATAATATAAAACTATAGACTGAGGGAAAATAGAGTTCCGGTATTTTTCTAATTTCTTCAAGGCTATTTTTTTTTTTTTTATTTATACATACATAAGAAATAAAGTCAGGAAAAGGCAATTTATCTCCAGATTTCATCGCTCCGATGCACATGAATTATAAATATTTACAACGTTAACATGTCAACGGCTACATAGTCATTTGACGAAGAAATAAATAAATGGGATATCTGTCAGGTGTGTAATAATAAAGTGGATGTGAAAGAAATTCTCAGTTTAATATGGATATACTGATTTATGCAGCCATAAGTGTAATTTAGTCTTGTTTTCGGGAGAGAGGCACACACGAATGACATGTGAAAACAGGTTTAAATAGCTTGGTCAGATTATTTATTTACATGAGTTGTCTGCTTGTGTTGAACAGGGCAGGTAATCAAATGAGTAGATATTGTTCCAAGATGAATACATTGCCATAACAGACTCTGACATTCTTATTGATTTTTAAAGTGAGGCGATGGACAGGGAATATCTATAAAAACAGAAAGTATTAAAAACGAAAATCACATCCGTTTCATCACAGATTGGATAATGTACTAGAAGAATGTTTATGAAAAAATCGCTCTTATTTAGAGGAATTGACTTTTCTTTATAATATTTTTTCCGAAAGTAGGGGAACTGTCAGATGTATTTCTCTTTTTTAACAGGTCGAGACCACTAGATTTTCTGACGTCAGAATAAATTTGCATGTAAATTAGCTAACATGTTTACTTTACCTACTGCTGAATGAACCGCAATGCATTGTGGGCTACTACAAGTACCTATCTGTGTTGAAAATTGAAGGCAACTTGAATTGTCCCTTGGAAAATTATTTTCAATTCTTTTTTGAAATTTTTTAAAGAAATATTTTAAAAGATGTATAATCTTTCATTTTTATGCTCACATTTACAAAATTTGCTTTATGAAGCCTTACAAATGTATCAACTTATAATACATCAGCCTAGTATACCATTGTTCAAAGAGACGTATAAGTGCTATCGTGTCGATAAAACATTGAGTTTTTTTCACGTGATATACGTGTACAGAGATTTCGCAGGTAGTGTATACTAGCTATAGGTCCTTGTTTTTAGACAGCAGGAGAAAGTGTGCAATTATTATTTAACCCCTCAATATTATCAGAAAGTGTTTTATGTACATGTATATGCAAAAGTCAAAGCGTTTGTACGATATTCGAAGCAACTGTTAATCATCTAAAACAACTCCAATATTAAATGTGAGCATGGAGCAGTGTCTTCAGAATATAATCTTTCAATTTCGGTCTAATAAATTTATAAAGAAGCTCTACAGTTTTTCCGTGACGAGTTAAATTTTGTGCAGTAAACCGACGAAAACCACGTGTAGCCATTGAATCGTAAACACGTGGTAGGCTGTTATGCTTTGGGAATCTTTCACTTGATTGGAGAACGGGCGTGACGAAGACATCGTCACGTGTTGAAAATTGCCTTCCATATAAGGTAGTGGTCTCGACCTGTTTAAGCCATGTATACTTATTGGATATAGAGAAATCTGTGTTACCAAAATAGATATTACAGAAAAAAGGAAACCAGCAAGAAATCTTTAGCTTAATGAAGTTAATCAGGATGTTAAACAAATAGTTATCTTCAAATTTAATGTGTCAACTTAAAATAAGAGACAACTATCTCTTGTATAAAATCAGTTTCCCCTTTATGGAACCTCATAATATTGGAAATCTGTATAAGGATTCAACTCTTTGTTTGGACAAATAGCGTGCTGTTGGCTATTTATCGATCGGACAACGGATTAAATAATGTCCAATATAATCTCACGGCCATTTATAACGGGTCACTCTGAACAAAGGCCTTCATTAATAGCCTAGGTGAGGGGGGATAGAGTAAGACAAAATGGGCTAAGTAAATCAAACTGTGTGAAAACAGTTGTATTAATAATATAGCATAAACGGGTGGTAAAATTGTGTTTTAAAATTTTTGTTCCTTGTGGGATGGGGAAGAAAACTTTGGGTTAACAGTCGGCGAGACATCGTTTTCTCGCCGAGTACAATGGTTGTAAGGCGTGTCACTTCTGACGACCAGTTTTCAGTCAAGATTTTTGTTATAGATGGATATAATTTAGTGTTCTCGTGATAACATCAGTTCTGATTATAACTGTGGAAGACAAAATCCGAGAATATTTCAAACATTTTGGTGTTTAAGTAATAAGTTATTGTCTCATATATTTTTTAAAAATTTAGATTTGATGGTTTTCTTCCTTCATTTGCTTTGATTTGAAATGGCTAGGGTAATATCAAATAGGAAATCACCTGTGTCGTCTTGTAGAAATTTAACAAGTTATAATTATATTTGATCTTTATTGTGAACAAACAATTTCGAAGTAAGGGAAGCATTTGTCGAGAGTGAACAAGATATGAAGTCATTTTTATGCCAATGTCTTATTAATTCTGATCTCTTTTTGTTAGATGCCAACAGTTAGGCGATTCCTTTGCTCAAGAGCATGAATTGAGTATAGTTCTGAAAATGACTTTCGTTAATATTTTAATAAAACCTAGTTTAGTAAATTTTTTTTTTGTGTGTTTGGTTTGGTTTACCAGTTTACTGATTTGACCAGTTGTTATTGTGAGTTTTGCGTTTGGTTGTGAGGGTGTTTGTCAGAAATTTGAAATTGCTTCGTTCGATTTACTTCCAGATTTAATCAAGTGTTCAACTACAATATTGAATGTGGTCAATTAATCTTATGAAGCAACTCAAATAAAAATAAAATAATTACTTTTACAAAACTTCATGAAAAATAAATTATAATTAACATATATAACACAAGGCCTTTAATTCTGATATATTCAGGGTGTCCCAAAACATATGTTACTATTTTAAACCGTTATAAAAATTTTATGCCTCAAGTTACAATAATGAAATTTAAAATATATAATAAAATTGTGATAAATTTTTTTGTGAAGCATACAGTTGCCACAATTTCCTTATTAATCAACAATATTTGTTCTTTAGAATAACATATGTCATTTTACAACATATTCTAAATGACGTCCATTGAATTGAAATTGTTTGAACACAATTCCTGAAGTTTTTACTTACCAAGCTGTAAATATAACATATATTCTAACAGTTTAACTCTAAATACCTTCACAAACATGTAAATAGTATTCTTTGAGGATTTTCATAACAAGATGTTGTTTTCTTATGGTACTTATGACTAAATTAGCAATATTAGACTGATAGTAAAGTTTTACAAATTCTACCAGTTCTCAACATAAAGGTTCCATATCAAAATATGATGACGTCATTAGGACATCATAATTACCTGACTCTTGAATAAAAAGTTCTCGAAATTTTGTCAGATAAAATGTATGCTGATACATTAGAAGTTGACAAAATATCTTTGTGAATGCTATTAATTTGATAAAGTTATAGGTGATTAAAAGTGTAACATATGTTTTGGGACACCCTGTACATGTATATCTATTATGTCACAGTTGCACAATATAGACGTCATGCGTTTACAGCTAAAACAATGTTGTAAGCACAGTTACAGTTTTTATATTAGATTTAGTTGAAGAACTACTGCAGGGTGGAAACAAAGTTCGTATAGTGGTTGACGTGTATCGTTTGTGTCAATTTCTTGTTCTGTCCTCCGTCTGTTCAGTTTCTGAAAATATCTTAAAATTTCCAATGTCAGATCCTAATATTAAAATTCTCAAGAGGGACGTTAAACAATATACAATCAATCAATCAACCTAATATTATTATTATTTGATAGTTTCTAAGTCATTAGTGAAATTGCTTCGTTCAATTTACTTGCAGATTTTAATCAAGCGCTCAATTACAATACTGAATATGGTCATTTAATGTTATAAAGTCATTTCCCAATACGTTTAATTATTAATTAACAATAAGGGATGCTGATCATGTAAATACTGAGATAGTTTTTCTATTTTAATTATGATATTTCATAAATGTCAAGTTAACATCGACAAGCTGACCTATAATACTTCTCATCAATATTTGTTCTGTTTTATCTATTTTGTACTGAAAATTTTGTTTTTATTGTTCTTTTTTCAAAGTTGCTTTTGTGGGGTTTTGGGTTTACGTTTGTAGGTGATAGAGTTAAATAAATCCATCATTACCAATGTTCATACAATAACAACTACCTTCCACACCTTGCAAAGTAAATTTATAAGTAATTTATATGTAAGTTATTGAGGTACTTTAAACATCGGTCCTTGACCAGGGACAGTGTAGTCGGCCATCTGTAGTATATTGGTCCTGCTGACTTCCTGTCGCTCTTGGTTGATACTGTCTCTTTTCCAAAGTGCTGGGTCTTCCAAGTCCTCCTGGCGTCTGAAAAGGTTTCCCACGACTGCCACTGTTCCTAGCTCGATATTCTTGCCCCAAATAGATATATTTGTGCATGCGTACCCTGGCGTGGAGAAAACTTCAACACGTTTGTCTATAGGGAAAGGTCGCCCAAACATTAGGTCATGTCTGTGTTGTAGATCACCAAGACACATGTCAAGGATGCAATGTAGACTGTGTCCGGGAAGAGATTGATTTCCCACGAAATCTACATTGCAGCTGGTGCAGACACACTACTTAACATCATCCACTGATACACCACTCCTCTACTCTACTGGGTGACATCCTTTGGGTGGCCAGATTTAACCATTATTAAAACACAATGCTTTTTATTTGGTTATATAATATATTTATTATGTCACTGTTGCACAATATAAACGTTCATGCATATACAGTTAGAACAATGTTGTCAGCACTGATACAGTTAAAATATGATATAGTTAGTACTTGGTATATCCACTGGAAGCCAAACTAGTAACTAGTACTGGGGAGCACAAAGTTCGTATAGTGGTACGTGTGAAACGTTTGTCTCAAGTTCTTATTCTGTCCTCCGCCTGTTTTGATTTAATTGTGATAATTAATCAACACTGACCAATAATAATTCACATAAATATTTACAACAATATTGTCTACCTTAAACACATAATTAGAAAATAGAAGTAAAGTGCGTAAGAACCTAAATGGCTCTCAAGGACATATAAGGATTATTATGCCTTATACACATATGTCCTTATTAATCAAATATAAGAAACACAACATATATTAAAAAGTTAATATGTAATTTATTTATATGTACGGTATGGTCCAATTGTGTTACATTATGGTCATAGAACCCTTTAGTAGAGTAACTGTTCCCCCTGTCCTGCTCTTCCTCCCCTTCAGAGTATTACTTTCAGATGACGAGAACTTCTTAGGCCTTTTCCTCGTCTTCCATACCACTCAATGCACTAAAACACACCAGCGATGAATTTATATCCAGAAAACTTAATTACTAGTGTAATGTCCATTAATCACGATCCTGGGCTCCATGTAGGAGGGATCGACTTACAAAAAAAAATGTGTTTTATTCATTATTATTGTCTGACGTAATATGCGGATATAATTTCTTGATGGTGTTTTTACCTATCTCATATCCATTACCATCAGTCATCAATTGGTGCTGAAGGTTTGAGATCCCTGCCAACGTCACTCTCTTTGGACGAATTAATTGTCACCAATGGTTAAAATCCTCAGCTGTGACATTTGATCGTTTAATGTCCTTAATTTTAAACGATCAGCGTACTACCATCTACAAATTAAAGAACGCCTACAAGTTAAACTTTTGTAACGCCTTCTCCATCTTCATACGCTTGTTCAGCAAGCGTTCAGATAAATCTGAACATTTTAATATTTTTCTTGCTTCACATGTGGAAACAACATAATTGCATGTTGTGCGTCTTTTACATCAGCAAAGCGAATAAAGAATTCTAACTTCAACACACCCATTTTTGATTGGGTAAAATCCTCTAATTCAAAGACGCGGAATTGTCGGTGAAATGTTATTAGGCCCCCCGTTAAATATATGTGAATAAAATTACTCCACCCCTGAATAGAATTTAAAAGATATAAGTTTGATTTTCTCTGCCTGTATCCTTTTCGATTTTTTTTCAATTGACTTAATCTAACATCTCAACTCGCCAAGATTAACATAAAAAAATGTAATAAGATTCAAGTCTGTTCAAGTTATGACCCCGGAGGTAGGGTCGGGCCGTAACGGATGGTAAATTTGTACATTCTTGTACGAATGTATATGGAAAATCTTCTCAAGAACAGCAAGGAATGGACTGGTCATATTTATATGAAAGCATCCTCAGGTGATGTAGATTCAAATTTGTTTGATGGGGCCACAATGGTCTATCAAAATTTTACATATGAATATTCAGGGGAAAACTTAAAAAATCTTCTCAAGAACAACAAATCTATGTTTGGTCATATTTATATGTAAGCATCCTCAGGTTGTGAAGATTCAAGTTTGTTCAAATCATGAGACCCGGAGGTAGGGTAGGGCGAAAATCGATCTAACTTTTACAAAGGAATGTTTGATAGGTAATTTCTTTGTTGTTTGAGTAAGGGTTTGGAAATAACTACCGGTAAAAGTTTTACTTCTTTTAGTCTACTTACCGACTGTTTGAAAGTGGAATATTGTTTTACCAATTTATGGGAATCTTCCAAATGCGAGTTATATAGTTCCGAAAGAGTAAGAAATCTTTCATTAAAAGAATTCCTTTTTTAAAGTTCTGAATTTGTTGAGTTATGACTTTTGATATTTTGTTTACGTTTTCCTGGATGTGCAGTCTGAAGAAAAGTGATGCGATTACATTTTGATGAATTTAGTTACGTGGTTGTTGTTTCTAATTAGAGAATTAACATGTTGAAAAATATTTACATCTTCCATAGTTGCTGTGCCAAACAAAGTTTTAGACACGTCTGTCACCAACATAAGGTAAGAGGGATTACTTATGTCTGTTCGAAATATGAATAAATGATACATTTTCATCCAGAAATTCATAAGTATGATTGAATTCTTCCAAAGTGCACGAGTCTAAATCTTCTATTTCGTGCATAAACCTTGTAAAAGTCGGACAAGCTTTTGTCTGGATTTCTCTGCCAATAAGGTGTAATGGAGAAGAGATAGAATCGAGATTAGATGATTTTTGTTGAAAGGGTAACGAGTCGTACCTCAAAATGGAAAGGAAATGCATCCACAATTTTATTATCTGGCATGTCATGAATCTTTGCCCAATGAAAAAAAAAATAGTCAACCATGCAATAATATTCTGAGTACTGTCTTCCTTGAATTTTCTAAATTAATGATGGAAGACATATTAGAAAAAAATTGTGTCCTACCTGACGTCTTTTTGTTAAAATAAAACCTAAACCTGTCCTCGTCCAAATTCTGTTCGTTTCCTGGATGTTCCAGAAGATTGTAAAAAGGATGTCTTTATTCGAAGAACGAGGAATCGGCACTTGGATTCGGAAGCAGGAGCTCCCACACAGAACTGTTGTTGTTATCCAAAATATCCACTTGTTCTTTGCCCTTGATATTCGAATATTCGATAGTAGTATTCGAATATATTCAAATATTCGATAAAATTAATACATCTTGCATTATAATATGTATATACATGTACCTTCACTCTTATGTCAAGAAATATATACGTTTTATGTCATTATTTGGGAATAAAATTTCATTTAAAGTTCTGTAAATGCACTTTAATTATATTCTTAAAATATTTTACAGAATATATGAAGAGTTTATATCCAAAATGTAATAAAAAAAATTTCCCTAAAATTCAAAAGATTCTTTCAATAAGTTCAAGATTAATTAATCATCCTAGCAAAGTGTACACTGATAACACTACACATTTATACCACATAGAACAATTATCTAATGGAGAAACATTAAAAGTAATTACTTTTTAGCTAATTAATTTTATGAAAATGATTTTCAATGATGTATACATAAACAAAAATGTTTCGTTTCAACAATACAAACTAATTCTAAGTGCCAGACACTGTTTTACCTCTAATTAAATGATTAAATCAAGAATCTATATTATTAATAGACACACTCTTCACAACTTAAAGGTAATCCAAGAAGAGCGTCTTTCAATTTTGTTTGAAATGAAATCTTATTTATCAACGATGAGAATTTGATTCAATTTCTGATGAAACTTCAGTATTAATTGCCAGATTTTTCTCTTTTAGATGCTTGTATTCTTAAAATAGGAATATTCGAATCATGAATTTATATTCGAATATCAACTCATCGAATGAATATTCCAATATTCGTTGACATCCCTCATAGGAATGCATGGAGAAAATCTGTAAACATCTTCTCAGGAACAATATGGCCATGATTGGTCATCCTTAGTGAGTTCTTATCTTCAATTTTGTGCATTAACCTTGTAAAAGTCACACAAGCTTTTGTCGGGAGTGTGATACAATCATACATAAGGTTAGATTTTGGAGGTAATTTTGGAAGAACAATCTCATATGTTTGTCTCCAATATTCATTTGTCAAAACTTAAATTTTTTTCTCCTTTAAACACTTCACAAGAATTAAGCCTTTGAACTGAGTTTGGATTAATCAAGGGACTTGTACCTTTTTTCTATCTCCAAAACTGACACGTGGAAAAACCCGCTCCATAACATCACCATTATTACTTTTGTGGGAAATAGAATTTCTACAAATAGACGAAAAACAAGAAAAAATTAGTGGTGTTCGGTCAAAGTGTGTTGATCTGTCACAAATTGCACCACATTATTTTAGAAAACGGTCTAAATTTAATATATTTTAGTGGAGATTCAAAGCTCACAATTAAAATGGATTTACGATTGTTAATGGTTTATAAGCGTGGAAGGACTAACGGTTCTTCACTTGTTTCGTGTGTGTCACAAAGTACTCTCTTAAAAGTTCTTGGCATTAGTTTTCTTCTGGTTCCCAGGCTTTACTGCCTCCTTCCCATTTAACAAAAAGGTCTGTACACCGTTTGTATAATGGGTCAAGATATAATACATACATATACGTGATAATCAGTAAGATATAATGAAAAATAGAGATTCACAATCAAGTAATATTAATCATTATATTTCAAAAAAGATGACAATATCTAATATGGACCAACATATTTGTCAAAGAGCTTAGGCTATTTTCCTACTGCAGTTTTAAACTGCTGTAAGAGAACCATTTGATTTAATCGAAATGAGGGCTCTTATGTTCGTTCATCATATCCTTCTTTGATTTTGCTTGTTTCTTTGCTGTATTTTCATTTGCAATCACGTACGTAATTTTCTAGAATGTCGCAAAAATGCTCTGTAGCATCCGCTTGCAGAGAGTCTTTGGGTGTTACTCGTTAATCAAAAGGCAAGTTGCAGCTGCAATAGCTTCAAGTTTATCTGAAAGCATAGACATTAACCTGTCTTTCAATTACTGTATGGAAGTGTTTACAGTTTCCGTTGATTAAATTGTTTGCTACGCCACAAGAGCTAGTTTACTTATTTTTTCCAACGTTTCTGGATTCCCAGGCTTAAAGATTAGCCCGAGGTTGGATTTTAACCCGTGAACAGTAATTCCAACTTGCAAGAGTATTTGGAAATCGTATTCAGTGGTTAA